ATACTACTACATACTAGATGTACATACATACTCTATATACTGGGTAATCTCAACTCCAGCACACACATTATTGTGTTTCTGAGTATCTTACTTACACATATTGCATCTATATACTACCAGCTTTGAGCTTGCTCAGTTTTATGTTCAATAATTATCAACTTCAGCTAGGAAACACATGAATTTGATATCAATAAACCAAACAGTACTGGCTTAAACATGTAAGGTTCTTCTTAGATTTTTTCCTGCAATCTCTTGTAGCACTTCTATTTAAGCTTTTTCCCCACAGAAATAAAGGCTTTAAAAAAAGCCAGAAACCAAAGTTTAGGGAGTTGCAACAAAGAGACAACTAACAGAAAGAAGTCTAACCCTAGCAGCACAGATCTTCGTAAGAGTCAATTTGATCTGGAGACCTTTATACAGACACAATCCTTCAAGCATCCTAACAGGCTTATGTTGCACATCTTTTCACCACACAGCTGTCCGCAGCGTAGATGTCACAATGATCGGGGAATGTAAAAAACATAATAAATACCAGATGGCAATGGCTTCAGAGAAGATTACAAAACTGTTGCTGTTAGTATACTAAGTATGAAAAAGACGTTTTCCTTTCTCCTCCTCCTATTATTAAGCCTTTATGTGACTACTTTGTCCTGAGGTTTGTACAGATGTAATGACAAATCTGGTATCACTTAAGTATCCAGACAAAGTAAAGACAGACTGAATTGGTGCAGCAACATACAAAATGAATCTGAAATCTATTCTCATGCCTACAAAGAATGAGTGGATCTCCTATCTTAATGCAACCTTGGGTTTCAGTCAAGGGGAATAAGAAAATGCAAACAGGAAACCTCTGTATCTCAGTAGAAACAAAAAAGGGATTCCAGCACAGCTCATCAGTGTTCAAAAGCAATTATCTTAGTACAGTGCCAGCTCTGCCTTTTCTTTTTCTTTTCATGCTGAACTGACAACTTTTACTCCATCCACAAGCTGACAGGTGGAGCAGCAGCTGAGCAGCTGCAGGCGTTTGGCTGCCTGTAGCTTGCTGCTGGTGGCCAAGAACTCTTCACCCTCGTGTTCAGCTCTCTGGAGATCTTGGGAAGTTAGCAGCACAAAGCCAAGTCTTTTCTGCTGCAATTGCACCAACGGCACAGAAGAAACCAAAAAGGTTAGGAGGACTTCATCTATGCCCTACTATTTCCAAAATACTGATATGTGAGTCTGCCCCCTGAATTAGATGAACAGGACAGAGAGGACTCACCTCTGAATGGTTTGACAGAAAAGGAAGCATGCTGAAAATCCACCTCAACCACAGATTTCACATTAAAATGTGATTACTTTGTAGCCTTAGCAAGCTGGTACGTAACAGCAGTTTAAGCCACTTTAGAGAAGATGGTTCCTCTCAAAAGTCTGGACCAAGGTTGAGAACCATGTTTTTGTTCTCTGTCATGATGACTTCACTGTTCTACCACCATATCCAGTCTACTAGAGAGATAAAATGTGAATCCCTGAAAGCAAGAAATAAAAACTCAAGGCAGCCCTGGTGGAGAGCAGGTACATATGACATGCCCTAAATATATTGCAAGTAGCTGGTACAAGCTGCATGGATGTGGGGAGGAAAAAGCAAAGACTGCATCTTTCATCTCAGCCACCTTCAATCCCTTTTCTGCTATTCTGTTCCTAAATTCTTATCTGAATCCTCCAGGACAGTTATCCATTCAATCATCTGTGACATACACGTCTGTTCATTTCATTTGCAAATGTGCGATACTGACAGAAACAACTGACTGTCACAATACTGACGTCCAAAATGAAATAAAAAAATGTGAATCTAAGAGCCATGTTACAACACAGCACAATCCATGATTTAATGTGTCCCTGAACACAAAAGAAATCCTCTACTCCAATCACGGGAACACGCATAGGGCTGGAAATCAGGAGATCCTCAGCTTCTTTCCATTTCTGACATTCTTTATACTTTTTTGAAAGAAGACTCCAAGACAAGCTTTACTGGTGTAGTTTTTCCACACTACCTAAGCTAGTGACCTGCTTAACTTCCCTAAATCTGTCATGTTAAGAAGGCAGCTTAATATAAAAATATAATTACTGCAGTGTATAACCTGTCCAGGCATCCATAGCAAACAGATATTAAGTGTCTACCCGCCTCTGGGAGCCAGTTTTTGCTGGATCTAGAGCTAGAGGACACAGTCTAACTTCTCCACATCATCCTGTTATCGGACGTTAATAGAGATTATAATTTTAATTCAGTTCAGTTATGTGCTCTTTTCCATTTTCACTGTCCCTACCTTATTTGCCGCGTTAGGTTATGTATGGCACATTCACACAAACAATCAGGTGACAGTCGGAAGCAGCTCACCTCTGTCTCTTTATACCTTAACCTCTGCTGGCCTCCGTTACTCAGCCTGCTTGCCTCACCCTTTTCTGCCTCTGGGGGTGGCCATTTTATAAAATGTCATACTCCACCTCATCGCAAAGTGTCCCAATCAGTCAGCATGACCAGCTAGCCCTTCACCTTCACCCTGGGCCACGCCAGCACACAGGACCAGGGCTTCGTTTCAGGGGCCAGTTTATGGTTGGAAACCACCATTCGGTAAACAGTGACATCCCGTTGTGTCTTCACATAATCGGCTCTCAGTCCCCAAGTCTCCATTATGTTCAGGAGAGGGGCAGGTCCAGGGGTGTTTTTACCCTAACGTTCACAGTCACTCTTCCTTCATACCAATAGAAATGTTTTTACTGGTTTTCCATAGGCCTAGAAGATTTCTGTGTTTGTTTTTGAATACATTGCAGGCACTTCAGTACTTGCTGGCAACAAAATGACAGATGCCTTTTACAATTTGTAAGTTTTCCTCTGAAAAGTCTCCTGAGCTTCTGGTACTGCGCCTCACTATTTCAGTGTTGTGTTATAGTAAACTTTCCACCTTCTTGTCTCAGAATTGAAAAGGAAGACAATTCACTTCTTTCTATGCAGTCATTTTGTCTACAAATTCTAATCTGATCCAGTATTAATATACTATCTCTGTGTTATTTGATTGTGATAAGATTTACGGTGGGCCTTCCCAATTTATCATCTTCCATTACCCACATTACATTATTCCTTTTTATGCAAGACAAACTGGAAAAAAGTTTGCCATTAATAGAATTGACAGAAGTCTGTTAAATAACAACAAAATACATACATATTTCTTTCCATTTAAAATAATATTCTAAGTACTCTTTCCATGAGTTGTCATAATAGCCTTTCACTGACAGTCTCTGCCCTGTGCTCCAGAGGAGTAGAACAAGGTTGAGGAGTGCTTGAAAGCTCTTTCATGAAGTTCTGGGTAAGTAACTGTGTCTAAAGTTCTTGAGACTTGTTTGTACAAGATGGTTTGACAGGAGGAGGAAAGGTTGGAGATGCCAAAGGTGCAATACATCCGCTTTCCTGCATGTCAGGCTATTGAGTAATCAAGATAAACAGACCATCAGTGACCTCTGTTTTCTTGGACAAGTGTACCGGGATACTGCATAGTAAAAAGAACCCTCTGGAAGTAAGTAGAAGAGGTATTTTATTTTAAACTGGTCCTTTTGGAAAGGAGAGGATGGCTTGGCTTGGCCAGCAGACTGAAGTACAAAATCAGTGAACCCTGACAGGCAAAACAGTGCGTGGCTACATCATGTTACTGGACTGAATGATCTCTTTCAGGTCCCTTCAAATGCCTGTCTGCCTTCTCCATGGCACAGCTCTTCCACTCTGTGGGCGCAGAGAGGCCAGAAAGTGCTCTGCAGGCCATAAGGCTTGAAAATATTATAGATCTTCATAGGATTTATATAAAATTCAGGCTGATTCAAGGGTGAGGCAAAGCGCTCTCTAGTGTTTCCAGCTGTTACAGTCTGTTCAGAATAATTTATTTTTCTTTTCCTGAAAGAATAATACTTTTTTTTTCTCTGAAGGCAACAGTAATCTGTTTTGAGACCAACATGTGTCTCGAAAAAGAACTGTTGAGAAATAAGCATTAACCTTGGCAGCAGATGCACGAGCAAAGGAAAGCAGTTTAGCAAAGAGCGGGCTCCTGACCCACATAGCAGATGGCGCTTGGTGACTGAGGGTTGCGCCCACTACCCAGGGCCAGAGATGGAGAGAAGGGTATGCAGCAGGCCCAGGATGCTGCAACTGCTCATCATCTGCTCTCTTGATTACACATCTGTGTCTCACAGCAGCCCCAGAACAAGGCATAGGAATAATTGTCATTCTGGTGTTGTGTAGAGATGCCTGCAGAGAACTCTAGCAAGGGTGCTCAGGTCTTCTCAGAGTTAAAGAAGGACCTGAAACTCTCAGAGAAAA